GAAAGCTGTGTGGTTTCAAAGGACATCTTAAAATCCATACCTTTGTGTTTCTCTTTTTATCTAATAGTTTATAAGCAATACTTCAGATTTTTCTATTAAAAAAAAAAAGACAAAACAAAACCAACAAACCAAAAACAGAAGGTGAGAAGAATCAGGTTTGGGGTTTATTTACTTTGTACATCTGACAGCACAGTTTGTGAGTCATTTCTGTCTGTTGTGGGGAGAAGGGAAAGAACGAGCGTCATTCTGCCAGCTGCAGAAGAAGTGTTTTCCAAATCATGAGACAGGTTGATCTCTATAGAGAAGTGTCTCAGAGGTAGGCTTGGTGCTCAGATCATTTTAATTATTCACTTTTTGGATTTCCCTTGACTTCAAATCGGTGATGTCTCCTTCAGGTTTCAGTCAGACATCTCACCCCTAATATTAGAGCTGAGGACGAAGCTCTTGCCAACAGGGGCTGTTTGTGCCCCAGCACCAGGAAGGCTCACCTTCATTGGTAGCAGATCTAAGGCAGGCAGCAGTTCTTGCCTCACAAAACACCACAGACCCTGGGAAATTCCTCAAGGTCTTTTGCTGTGGAAGTCGAGCCATGTCTATGGGTGAAGGATGTGGCTTCTGACATGGTTCAGAGGGGCACTAGCATCAGGGAAAATTAAAATATATTTGGTAGGGATGATTTGAGCCTGTCTGTGTTTAAATCGGTTCACAGAGAGCAGTTCTGCTCTCCCCTGGAGGTGAGTTTTAAAAACTGCAGAGGCGCTGCAGACCCTCACAGAGCTGGGCTGATCATAAAGAAAAGGGATATTTACCTATAAAAATATTAATTCCTCTCAGCACAGGCCCATGGCTCTGCTTGGTGTAATCATGCTTAAAAACAGCTACAGCAAAGGGCTCTAACTCATAATCCACACAGAATTAGGCTTTGATCAACAATGACATTGCCTTCTCCTGTCACCCCTCTTCTGACTGTGTCTGACCCTGCAGCAAGGATGGTAGGACCCCAATCTTATACATATATATAGCAAAGAAATTAATCTCTGTCCTAAAAAAACTTCCAATCTAAATGGAAGGGACATTCAATGTAATGTTTAATATTCTTCTGTAATATATAAGAAGGAAAAGCGCAAGGTAGCCAGGAGGTATTTAATAGCTCATGTTCTCAAAGTAATGTTGATTATCAGCCTATTAGCAGGACAGGCACTGTCAAAACCAGCCCAAGGAGAAGGGAGGCTACCTGATAAGGAGTCAGGATGGAGGTTTGACTACATGTCAAACAGCAGTTTCTGTGGCACAGACACAACTTTATATGAAATTTCATCTCTCACCTGACTGAAGCATTTCGCAGTGACACGTGAATTACTTGTCAAAAATGCCACTGTTGCTTTGTCTCATTCATTAGTGTTTCACTTAGGATGAAAATGTGTAAATCCCAGCACAAAGAACTTTGTGTGTTCTGCTTCCCCCAGCTGCTGAAGGAGATGGCCTTTATCTCCCCTGTCCAGCTCATGTTCCAGCAAGCTCCTATTACCACCTGTCATTCACATTCTGTGTGTCAGTGCCACAGTTGGACCACCAGCCTTCAGCTCTGGTTATCTGCTGGGCCACAGTTACGGGGAGTCTTTTTCACAAAGAAATTAGAGTTTGTATTGCTGCGGCTGCCAGGGGTTCTGAGGTGTTAGTGCACGTGTAGGGGGGCACCTCACTGACGGCGAGAACTTGACAGGAAAGTGAGTAAGGGTTCACTTTAACTTCTGGAGAGAAAAAGAATTGTAGGGGTGGGGATGCTCATGATCTCCTGCAGTCCTGCTACCTCTGAAGCAGCACGTCGGTAGTGCAGACAGTCATGGGCAGGAGCGACAGCCTCCCTCCTCCTGCCACCTGGCTCCATGTCTTACCTGAACTAGCAGAGGCTTCATTTCCATATGTAAGCTCAGTTTCTGCATCCCTTTTATCCATGACTGTGGCCAACAATCAAGCAATTTGTGTTGTGATTGCCATGAGGAAAAGTTACTGAACAGTCATGAGGAAGTAACCTTACTCAGTTTCCATCAGCAGCCCTCCTGGTGAGAGGCCAGATTAGCTCCCACTTGTAAGTGGGAACTTGCTTGGCTGAATACAAGCAACACATAGGACTCATAAACCAGCCATAAAGGTTCTTCCAGGTGGTATAAAATGACATTTTTTGTGTCTGCAATGAATAGCACTGGAGAGGCTGATAACCCTGTGGCTGTACAAGACGTCCTGCAGAAGCACAGGGTGGCGACCGGCTGAGGACCATTCTATGCACTCTGTGACATTGTGCTTGGCAGTCATTGTTTGTCATTGTGGGGTTAGCACATTCACCAGTGAAGGGGCAGGATGGGGGCAGCCTTTTTTTTAAAGAAGTCTCATGCTCATGATTTGCTTAGTTCTCTAGTGTTTTTACTTGCTCTTTGTTGTTCCTTCGTTAAGGGACAGAACACCCTCAAGCAAGGTGGAGTGCCAATATATTGGGCACTGTTCAAATACAAAGAATAAGCAACATTTGTTGTACTGAAGAGCTTGTGATCAAAACAGCCAAGACAAAGCGTGAAAGCACAGGGAGTATTTGAAATCCAAAGTTATTTCCTTCCCTTTTGTACTTAGCAAATGCGGCTTCAGTCTGGCCACACAGATTTTCCCACCCACCTCTCTTATTTTAAGAGAGCTGAAATTACCATGTTCTTACTAGCAAAGAAAGGCCTTCCCTGTCATTTTCTAACCACAACTATTTGGAATGAACCACAGAGCTTGGTTCAGAGCACAGTGCTTCTGATGCATCCTTTTCCCCCGATCCCACAATGTAGTGCTAGTCATTCTGACATGTCACACAGGGAACAACCGCATTCTTGACAGACACCTTCACGTTACTGGATAACCTAAGTCACGTGGATAACCTAAAACATGGAAAGGGTGTGTGGTTTCTAATCAAACAACCTGATTTTTGAGTAAGGACTTGTGGGAGGGAGACCTCCCCATTTATCCAGCTCTGTGCTTTGAAGTAATATAGGACATCTTCAAAAGACAGTTCCAGAGCCTGGGATCTCACAAGGCTTTTGCAAGAATCCAGAGCCCTGATTGCAGACTACGGGGGTGCTGGTGAGAGGCAAGAAGGCTGTTTTGATTTAAACAGGCATAGTACCTACTGCAGCAGCTCACTGGTACCTGGTGGAACTATCATAATGAGTCCTTATGAATACCCTGGGTCATCTGGCAGCTACGTATGGTGTTAGGGGAGGCACTCAGAGTTCCCATATCCCTGACTTTAACAGCAGAGACTATCTACAAGTGATACTCCAAAAATACACTGGAGAAAAGACAGTCCAAATAGACACAGCAGTGACCAGAAGAAGCAACAGAGAGAGGGCCAGGATGGTGATCTCACAGCAGGTCCGTGACAGAGATTTGCCTGTAGATTCTAGACCTATGTGATGTTCCTACTAAGTAAAGAAGGTGGGTATGGTGGAAAGCCCATGTATTTTTGGTGGTGTATATATATGTCTGCAAATGCCCCCAGTTTCTGAACCAAATTCCAGGTGAATTCACCAACTCATTTTACCTCTGTCTTCAGAGTGGGGAGTGTCAAATCCATTTTTTTTAATGCAGCTGCAATTAAAAGGAAAAAAGCAGCAGAGAAAGAACAGAAAAACTGCTGCAGAAGAGAAGCAGGAACAGGGGCAGGAAGGAGTAGAAGGGGGCAAGGGTACCAGAAAACTGGAGCATGTCACTGAAACCAGGCTGGCTGTGACTGCTTTGGAAGATTGTGCTATATGAGGGATGGGACCAGGAAGAATAGGAGATTCCTCACGTGCAACTGCTAGTGCACAGATGCAGGACGTGCTGTGCAGGTAGCACACATCACACACAACTGATCTGGGCGTGAACAGCGGGATGACACACGGCACTGACCGTCTGTGTACTACAGCTCGTGTCCTATAGGCTGCCTTCCATGCCCAGGGCTCTCCAGGCAATTCAGAGAGGCCCACAAAGGGAGGAATTAGAGAGGAAAAATAAACTACCAACTTTATGTTGACTTGAGTTGTTATCTCTTGAGGCAGGCGTGTAGCATCTGCAGCTATCCATTATTCGGTGTGTGGGTGGCAATTGTGACATTTCAGGAGCTCAGAGTCTAGCTGTGATGAAGCTGGAGGCCAAAGATCAAAATTAGACTCATCTGGGTGGGATAAAGTTCAGCCTCATCTGATACTTGTGTCTTTCCATAACACCACCTGACAGAGTTATGAAGTTTGTCCTCGCAGTGTTCTCAGGAAGAAATAAGAAATGAAATATTGCTGCAGAAATCGAAAACAAGAACAGGATATTTTGAAGATTTTACCAATGCTGAACAGGGCATCTAGATTGGAACTGGAGTCATGCAGAGGGCAGAATCTGAATTTTGTGAAGGATTTAGAGATTTTTACAGTGATATTTAAAGGGAGGCTGTATAATGAAAAATTCTGTATTTGATATAAGAAACGTGTGAAGAAAATCTCCCAAGTAATTTCAAATGTACACTTCAACAGAGCCAGAATATGTCAAGTATATTGTAGTATTCTATCAAATGCTTCACTGAAAAACTGGAATTAAACAAAAAATTCAAGCTTTTTTTCCCCTCAAAAAAATTTGAAACATGATTATTCACTCTGCGTTTGTCTAAAGCAAAGTTTCAGAAAAATCAATGGTTTCATGAAGCATTCGGGTTCAGCAAGGGAGTGCCCGAAATGAAAAACTGTTCCTATTGAAGTTTCTCCACAGAACTCAGTTCAGCATCAGATCAATATTCAAGGCTCTGGTGGCACTCTGTTCGTTCCCCGTGGAGCCACTAGACTAAGCCGCTTTCTGTACAGACATCTTCCTTTAGGCACTTCCTCACTGTTTGCACCCGCTCCTCTCAGGCAGCTTGGAAATTGATATGTCTGTCACTCTTCTAACTTCTCTTTGTTTTTTTCCTCCCTCCTTCTCCCCTCCCTGCTCTCCTCCAGGAACCTTCTGCATCATTTCACTGTGCACGTGCGTGGCTGGAATCAACTTTGAGCTCTCCCGCTACCCCCGCTACCTGTATGGACTTCCCGACGACATCAGCCATGGCTATGGCTGGTCCATGTTCTGTGCGTGGGGGGGCCTGGGCCTCACTCTTATCTCTGGCTTCTTCTGCACTCTGGCCCCTTCTGTCCAACCTGTCCCCAGGACCAACCACCCCAAATCTAGACCTGAGAATGGGACAGTGTGCTAAAACAAATAGCAAACGAATACACACACACACAAAATACATATATATATATATATGTCTGTGTATGCCTATACATGCATATATATGTATATATAATTATAAATATATATAAAATCTCAAATTAATGCCAGTGCCAAGGTAGAGCTGAGTCCAACACGGCACTCACATCTCCACTGGACTCTGTGTTGCTTCATTCTTTCTCACAGTAATGGGAAAGCTTTTCTCTCACATGGCTCTTCCATCCAACTTTTAACTTCGGCATCATACCTTAGAGGTCAAATGAACCTACAGTTGCACCTACCTACTGCCATTTGGGAAGGGGAACAGGGGATCCATATGGGGAATCTGGAACCAGAATCTGTACAGGACATGGTGGGGGTGGGGGCGTGGGAGGGGAAATGACACAAAAAGCGTGTCCATTGCAGCCAGAAGGGAAAATACAAACAGCAAGCAAAGGAGCAAATGAAGCATTTGAACCACCTCAACGACGTACCTCCTCAAGGCCACTATCAGAAACCCACCCACTTTCTTTTTCTTTCTTAAAACAAAATGACAGAAAGCCTGTCCTGTCACTGGTTTTGGGGTTTTGTTGGGTTTTTTTTCCCTTAAAACACAGAAAACAAAACAGACAAAACATGTGAGGAAAAGCAGACAAGCATTTTCTCTTTGCCTGCCAAACTTTAGAGAGAAGCAAACAAGTAAAAAAAAAAAAAAGTAATAAACCCCTACAGATTTAAGAAAATAAAACCAGAAACAGCAACAACAACAAAAAACTCCAAGAGGACATCTCAGCGGACTTTCCAACAATGCGGTTTTAATCTTCCAGCTGCCTTACATCCAGGCTTACAACTGAGGCTGAACTGCTAATGTAAATGCAGCAGAAGGCCTTTTGAAAATGCTGTGATACATGTGTGTAGAACTTTTTCTTCCCTCTTCCTTTATTTATTTTTTTTAACAAAAAGAAAAATTTAAAACATTGCAATGTGATTGTCCACCAAACCATCCATGCTGTGTTTGTGGCCCAAGACTGAGGCACCGCAACGGCAGAAACGTGAGGAAATCCGTCAGGCCTGAGACAGCACATCTTCTCTGATGGATCTTGGGATGTTTTTTTTGTTTTCACGGAGCACCTGAGGGTTCAGGATGGTGGATCCAGAGGAAAACCGACTAACGAGAAGGGAGGTGGGGGGAGCCCTGGCAGTTGTTCTTCCCAGATATTTGCTGGAATGGGATTTCATCAAGTTTCCATTTTGGAGGTTTAAGACAACTGGGCAAAAGCCATTGCTGAGGAGGAAAAGAGAGCTAATTTCAGTAAGAAGGAAGTAAGAGATGCCTCTCATTGTGTTCATGTATGCCAAATAAGACCTTCCTACATCTTGTCTTTGGAAACTGGATCACTGGATATCTCCACTCTCCATCTGGGAGAACTGTGTACAGATGGACGTGAAAGGGTCAGATGCAGAGAACAGAGATCCATTTCCCATGAGCTTAAGCATTGTATGATATAACTGTGAATCTGCAAATGGAACTCTCTCTCTTTTTTGGTCTTTCTCTTTTTCCTGCTACTCCTCTCCCTATTGTCTCCTTTTTCCTTCACTCTGCTCTTCCCGTTGTTCAGGTCATAGGTCCCAGAAGATCTAAATGAACAGCTAAGTCTGGAGAGGTGGGTGAATGCCATTAGAGGAAGGAAAGCATTTTGGCTATGAGGACACCGAGTCCTTGCAGGGGATCAGTGGCTCAGGGGAATGTGGGGAAGAAGGGCCAAGGGTGTAACCAAAGGGACTGAAGAAGGATGACTGAATTGCCATGTGCAGGAGTGAGGGCACCACTGACAAATATACAGACAAAGGGAGACAGGACAAAGAAAAAAGGTCTCCCCTAAACCAACCCAACCCAACATGCTCTTAATTCAGGGATAGTACCAGCAATCCTTTTGTACATGATAGCTGCATGCCATCATGAGTCAATAAAAAGTCATCCTCTGCATCTAAAAAATCTCACAAGGAGAACAAGGCAACCTATTGAGGCTGTACCTGCTGCACAGAAATGCAGGCATTAATTTCCAGGTCATACCATTTACTTAAGCTGGCAAGAAACAGTATTGCTTGGTTTAAAAAAAATCTGGCTAACAAATAATTCTTACACAATACAATTCCATAGCCAGCTATTCTCCTTGCAGCCCCTCTTCCCCTTTACACCTTGTGTGATGATGTTGCTGTATTAACTGTACCCCGAGAAATGAAGTTTTTTGAAGGGCATGTTGGAGTAGGGTAGATTTGGGATCCTTTCCTTCTTTCTCAACTACCTAGCTTTTGCTTTTCGTTGTCTACAATTTCCCCAAACATGCCAATGCCAGCTGCTAAGTCAGTGTGTTGCCAATGAAGTGCCATCCCTGTCAACTGAAGTTTCATAATTTCATTTTCCATTAGATGTGACCAGAGAAATTATTTATTTATTCATGTTGAAAATACAAGCCTTGAAGAAACTTCCTGTATAAGTAGATTGGTTTATTTATTTTTTTCTGGCAAGGTTTTCAAATAGAGTGGTTTTGAAAAGTTTTGAAACCATTTGACTGTGCAAGTGCCTACTTGGTAAGGAGGATGATAAATTACCATTGAACAGAAGAAGGAAATTTAAAATAAAAACAGTCTTGGAAAGCTAAATGAAAGCTGAAAGCAGAAAACCAATAACTGGAAACCAAGAGAGACCTATAAAAAATTGTTCATTTCTTTGAGATACGAAAAATTTTGCAAAAAAGCAACTTCCCATTAAGATATTATTAGGAAAATTATAGCTGTTTCATTAAAACAGCTTTGAATGCAGACTTTCTTCCTCCTCTGCAGGGCTGAGTGTGATAGGGAAGGTGTTTCATGTGAATACAGATATCTGGAGTGACCCAGGTAAACCAAAGTGCACAGAGGTATCTAGCTGGAGTCCACCATCAGGCCCTGTGGCATGGAAAGCAGTACAGCAGCTCCTGTGATGATGTATCCTTGTGTGGTCCATGAGTGCTCATAGGGTGTATTTTTCTACAGATACAGTTTTGAAAGAGGTATAGCAGTAAGATTTAAAGAAATTGAAGAAGTAATTTTGCTGTTTCATGGATTTTCAAAGCTTTGCTTTCTTTCTGCAGCTGGTACAAAAACAGTTTTGCCTTGATGGAGTATTCTGTGATAGTGTTGGTTTACAAGCTATATATGAGCCTGTGTGTCCATCTGTGTGTGGCAATGGTGGAAGAGGGTTATGATTATTTTCATTGTCAACAGAAAAGTGTTAACCCCGGATCATTGGGCCAGTTCTGTGATTTTCCACTTGCTGTAGCACAGGTTCTGTAAGGCCTTTGTGGCTATGGAGCATCTTAAAAGCTATGGGAATATCTGAAGCAGCAGGTGATCATATCACCTTAATCTCCAACTGGATCCCCCAAAACAGTTTGGACTGGTTGTCCAAACACTAGTTTTCTCATCAATGCTTTAAGTAAGGGCAAAACCCCCTTGGGATATTGTGAATTTTCCTCTGTGGTACTCATAGAACTGGGAGGAGTCCCACGTGCTTCCATACCCTTGAACGGGGCTCACAGCCCCACCACACTTTCTGTTGGCTCAGACTCGTCTTTAGAGCAGGGTTGACTCAAAATACACCTAGATCCAAATTTGTGATGGTTAGTGTCTCCATCTGTCCTGAGCCAAAGCACACTCACATCTAGTCTGAGTTTCTGCATTTTGGGGAGGCTTTGAAATATCCTTCTGAACAGAGATTCAAGCTTTTTGACTAGTGCGTGGTTTCTTAGTTGGAGGAGTAGCTAATTAGAAATCTGTTATCTGTTATCCCAGCATTAAGGGGCTTGACCCCATCCCTCAGAACCGCTCTGGCCAAGTGCCTAGGCATGTGCTTTACTTGGAGCATGTGACTAATCCCCTTAACTTTGGTAGACTATTCATATGCTTAAAGTTAAGAATGTGCTTTCCCGGGTGACATTCAGCTTCCTGCAGAGTCCAACCCCCACTCTTCTTTTCCTATCCTCCCCCTGCAGATAAAGTGACACTCTTGTCCTAACCTGAGGTATCAGCATGTGCTTGACCTCCCTTTCCATGAGGTGGAAAGGCAGGGTCCATATCTGGCAGGTTCTTTCCCGCATGTGGCCTTTCATGTTGCACTGCTGGGACAACACTTCTCTGTGCTCCAGAGATCATGGAGTCACTTGACTGCAGTGAACACAGATATCACAAAACACCTATCCCAAGGATGCAGGATGAATTGTCTCAACCCACTGCACTCTGCAGGCTGAGGTTTTGTGTAGGTGACCCTCAGTTATTGTACAGTGACATTGCCCTTTGACTGCAGCGAGTCAGCTCCAGGGGTTCTGCTCTCCATCCCTGCCGGGGACACTGGATATGAGAGAGGGCTACATGGCAGGAGAACATGTGATATGTGCCCTGTATCTTATGTACTGTATAGGACACCTTCTTCAAGCTAAAGCTGTTTGTGTGTTACGTTTCCTGACTCATATTGGCCGCCTGTATATATCATCTCTCCCTTCTCCGTCTCTGCAAACACACAACTGATCTTCCCTCATCTAAATAAATAGTACAGTCCCTCCAGTTCTTTTTCTAGTTAAGCCTTTTTTCCTTTCATTCCACCCCAGGGACAGTAACAAGTGGATCACAAACCACCAGTGACCAGAGTAATTTCTTTGAAATATTGCTTTTGAAAAGTTGCCATTACTTTTTAAAATGTTATTCCGGCTGCAATAACAAATGAAAGGGACAAAAAACCACCCTGAGTCCTCTAAACAGAGTATCCTCATTCTCCCAGGACTGAATCGTGAGAGTGCAGGTATTCTGCTTTCCTGTAGATGCAAGTCATTTGGGACCATTTTTAGGTATGGCACATTAGCTGTGCAGTTCATTAGATGGTGAATAAAACAACGTTGGTGAGGGAGAGGATTGATATGCAGGGGGTATCTCAGATTCCCAAGCATTCCTGAAAGAACTGTGTCTCCATGGCTGTCCATTTACCCACCATGCAGCGCCGCCGAATCAGGCTCATCCCTGGAGCCCCACTGATAAGCAGAGCTCAGAAGAAAATCACTGTAATCTGTCCTTAATTCTTGAGTGCCAAGCTAACTGCCAGCAGTGAAATGGAGGGAAAATAATATGTTACCAAGTATAGCTTAAATAAAGACATACATTATTCGGGCTCTTTCTTCTGTGTGTCTCTACGTAGGCCTGGAAGAGCTACAGGAATGCTCAGGCACATCACAGGAACCAACTCTGCATTTCCTTGCCCCCAGGTTTCACACTTTCATGGCCCAAACTGCTGTGCTCATCCAACCAGCAAGGGGAGACTCAAGGTGAAAAACTGAGACAGCTCTGAACGATTGCCAGGTACCACTGAGAGGCAAAGAGTAAAAAGTGTGCATGAAGCACAAGCAGCATGTAAAGATCAGCGATGGATGAATTTCCAAGGTCAGGAACCAAAGTTCAAAAAAGTCTGAAATTTAACAACAAACTCCAGGCCAGATCCATAAAATCTTGATTCAGCCAGTCTAAGCTGAAAACTCAAAGCCCAGGGCTCAGCTCAAAACTTATAGCCCCACTGTTTGCAGTCATAGCCAGGAATATAATGCATCTATTCCATAGTCCCTTGAAGTCCATAGAAAGATCAGGTGCTTTAGAAAATATTTTAGTGCTGTCTTAGTCAAAAGCGGAAATCGAGCACTTTCACACTCAATATCTATTCTTTGGCTTTAGAAAGAAAGTAATCAGATGTTACCTCCCCCCTCTTCCTCCTCCTCCCCCTCCCCAATTTAGGGTTTCCATTCTGTCTATCCCACTAACACCCCAATCCTACAGCCCTCTTCGGAGCCATAGTTAGAGATTGCAACATTTTTAAAACAAATGCAGGTGGTGCCAGGGGACTCTGACAAGCTCGTTGTTGACATCAGTGGGAGAACTGGAGCCTGATACAATGCTGTCAGTCTAACTGCTGTGTGCCTTGCACCAGTTTAGGAGTTGGAGACAGAGCCTAGACAACTGCCTCAATATAGGCCACAAGAGGGAAATGAAATGCTGTTCACCTCTTTTAAAGCACTCCAGAGTCACAGATCAATTGTCCTTCCTTGTTCAGGGAAGACTTGAAATGAAGATATCAGTCTCAGATAGGTTATCTCCAGGGGAAGGTGGAGGAGTGAAAAAAAGGAAAGCCAACAGTAGTTGCTATAGGTAAAAACCAATGGGCATTGGTAGAACTCTGTGAGGACAATCCAGTGTCACCTGCAGCATCAGCATCAGTCTCTCCTAGGACTGCATTTTTATATTTTTCCATCACTGATTAACACTCCCTCACAGTGGCAGAAAGTGACTTCAAAAATTTTCTTATATAGGGCGTGTACACACGTGCGCCCTCACTCCCCTCCTTCCTTTAACACACACACGTGTACATCCCACGTGATGTGGGTGCCAGTGACCTGTAAAAATGTTCCATGTAGAGAGAAAACCCATAGCAAAACGCAGCATAATTGTTTTCCATTCTTTAATACTTAGCTCTGGAGTTGCAGTGCAATTCAGATACCATCTGTGTCCGTGTTAGGTTGTGTGTGCAGATCACATGGAAACCATCTGCTGAAGAGACGTGGGGAAGCACAATACAACTGGGATGAATTTGGTTTTCTCCATCAAAATGTGTTTGGAAATTTAGGAAAGAGTTGCCAATGTATCACCTCCAAAGCAGAAACATTTATGATGCCCTGGTGTAAAAATTCCACCGTGCCCAGAGGCAGTGCCATGGCAGGGCACCACCTGAGTCTTTTTTTTCTGTCCCCAGAGGGTTCGTGCAGGTTGTTGGCTGCACGAGGACCGTGGTTAATGCTGCTTGGCACAGCAGGGAGCTTCATATCCCGTGGATCTAACCTCTACCTGTGGCAGCAGGACACAGGGATATCTCTGTAAAGGCAATTCCTTCAAGTGGCCTTGTTATTTTGCCAGCTGGTCAGAAATACCCAAGCAGTAACCGATTCTGCAGTAGATGAGATAAAGAGTCAAGCCTTCAAAAACCTGTGGGTTTTTCCCCAGTTTCAAAGTGATATAGACTCCAAGGAGTGTGAGTCAGACATGTCTTAGTCTCCTGGGGCCAGATACACAAAAAAGCCTAAGCATCCAATTCCTCCTTAGTGAAAACACTAAATGCCTTTGGTGCCTACATAGAGTTTTTTAAAAAATCATATATGCTTCTAATTTGCTTAAGCTCTTGTGATGTTTTATCTCAAGAAGAATTTTCTTCTGGCTCTAGAGCATAAGGCTGTATTTTTTTTACAAAGGGTTATTCATTAACAATATAGATCATAAGAAAAAGGTTTGAGTAATCAGAACAATAAAAGTGCAGCCTTAGACTATTCAGTTAGAATGTACTGAATTATTTATAACTCCTGGGCACCAACAGCAATCACAGATATCTAATTTAAACTGTTACTATTTTTATTTGGCAATTTCCATCACTTAGAGTGTTTATAGCTATGTATTTGTGGTTTGATCTTTTGCAGAACAAAATTTCCCTTGTTTACATGGAAAAGCATATTTGGGAACTTCTGGAGGTATTTTTTTGCGGTAATTTTAATTATTTTAAAGCATTTTGAGGCCTAGTATGACAAATGTTACAACTTTCAAAACTGTAAACTGTACCTAAAATGGGCTTGAACTTTCAGTTCTTTCTCTAGTAAAATTCCCTTTGATTACAGGTCATTGGAAACTAAGGGAAATTTGCTTCATTAACAGCTGTAAGACTGGGTCCTATTTATGTGTATATGTGGTGATGGGACTTATGTAAGGGGAATGTACTTAAATGTCAGCCCACTTGAGGATCTTTTGGATAGACACAGGAACAGTCACTGCTAAGTCACTCCAACTATATACCAATCTCTTTTGTAAAAAACAACCATTATACTTGTGTGTGGCTGAAATAAAGCAGTAGTAAATCTAGCCCTTAGGCTGACACACATATACATGTATATATGTGTATATCTGTATATATATTTGTAAATTTCTGAAAAATGTCCATAGCTTCATGATTGCCTGAAATAACCTGAGGCCGATGTACAGAATTTCAGGCAAAGGACTGTTTCTTTTTCACAATCCTCATTTATCTCAGATTTCAATCAAAACAAACTAAAAAAACACTATTTCCCAGGAAAATCCTCATTTTGCCATTGCACCAGCTGAGGAGGGGTACCACACTCAAGTCAGCGGCACGCACATCCGCACACGTACATCCAGTCCAAGGACTGGGTCTCAAGGGCTTTTTTAAGGAAAAGAAATGGACTGAAAAAGCAATGGCAGAATTTCTGTTCAGCAGTAGCTCCCTCAATTGACTCACTTGTCCTTTATTCAGAGGCCCTTTGTAGGGATGCTGTTCTGCACTAGGTGTATGTTCTCGAGGAGCACCTTTGTGGGTGACCTCAAGCTACTCAAAGGCTGGGATTTTCTGACCTGCATTTGTCCCCCCTAACCTTAGGCACTTAACTGAGCTCTTTGTGCTGATGGGCTCATTTCTCTTGGTTTCTTGTACAGGTGGTGAAGAGACACAGTCACTTACAGATGGTGACCCAGAAAAACTCACATCTAATTCAGCTTTAGGGGCTCCTTCTCACTTCATGCAGTGACCACTCACCTCTCTTGGGCGGTCCCAAAATCTTAAAAGATCTTAAATCCTGGTGAGGTGAATCGGGTACCTAGTGCAGAAAAGCATCCATACGGAGATCAGCCATGTTCCTGTGCTTCAGGTGCATGGCCTGGGCTCACCATGTAAAACACAGGTTTAATTGTGAAAGGCTGCTGGAACAATAGGTGTTCACTACAGCCTTCCCCTCCCAAACTGCAACAGGACTGCAAAGGACAGGGCTTGCCCCAAACCCTGGGTGTAGTATTTGAGGTGAGTTCCTTGTCGAGTTCTCCAGGCACAGACGACTGAGTGGTCCCAGTGCTGGAGGTCAGAGATCTTTGATCTGAACTCTTCATCTTTTTCTGTCAGTCATAGGCATTGCTGAAGCAGTTCAAAGAGTGAATTTACATCTTAAAAATCTGAATGGCTGAGCTGTTCAAAGGTTAATTTCTTGCTCTGTCCCCCAACTGGCCTGAAAAAGTCATCTAACTGGTAGTGATAATCAAAAAATACTCCTCCAAGGTACAGTTTGGATAGTTTCATATTCTTTCTTTCAATGTTAATAACTGCTTTACAAACAGCTTACATGGAGATTAAAGAGATTGCAATTTCATCCCTTATTGTTGTCCTCAGAAAAACCAAACTGAGGACTCAACAAGAGAATGAACTGTGACTGTATTATTCAGAAAGCTGCTCTGACAAGGCTGAACATACGTCTCCATCTCATGGTGAGAGTCTCTCAGAGCCAAAATTTGGAATTGCATATTGATAGGCAGCCTGGCTGGAAGGATCAGCAATTT